GAAGTGTGTTAACAGCCATTCTTGATCAAACCTCCAAGAGACTTGATAGTACCTCCCTTAGAACATTTCTTTATGAAGTTATGGCTGTGGTGAATAGCAGACCATTAACGGTAGAGAACCTGAATGACCCAACTAGTGTTGAACCACTGACACCCAATCATATTCTTATGATGAAGTCCAACATTATACTGCCCCCTCCTGGTGAGTTCGTAAACCAGGACTTGTACCTAAGAAAGAGATGGCGCCAAGTTCAGTTTCTTACAAATGCATTCTGGACACGGTGGAAGAAGGAGTATCTTCTGAACCTTCAACAACGGCAAATATGGCAAAAGGAAAAGAGAAACTCAAAGGTTAATGACATTGTTATTCTTCAAGAGGAAAACTCCCAGGAACAAGTGGAAGCTTGCACGAGTGACAGAAGTCTATCCCAGCGCAGATGGACAAGTGAGGAAAGTCAAGCTTTTACTCAGTGACTCAACCCTCGATAAGGATGGAAAAAGGACTGTAAAATCAGTATATCTTGATAGACCTGTACATAAAACTGTGTTATTACTTGAGGCAGAGTAATAAGCAATAAGTTCTCTATTGTTGTTCATTGTAATATGTTTGAGAAATCACAATGGGTATGTGATTTGGTGGGAGTTTTACTGCCATAGTTTTGATTTGCTTTTTATTTGATTCTTGAATAATATGTAATATGCACATAAGAGAAGATTTCGTGCTTTTATTTTGGTAGTCAGCAGGTAGGAACTGTTATTGTTTTGTTCGGTTCCGCTGGACCCCTTGATAGAGACCCACGCCTGGTCAAGAAACAGTAGTGTGGCGTGTCAGCAAAGAAGTCAATTAAAGTTAAAATAAAGTGAATAGAGTTATGTTAAAGGCCATTCTACCTCCAAAATATGGGTCAGCCAGCGAGGTATGTTTTTTGTAATTGTTCATGTTTTTATTTTATGTCTTTATATTATACCTTTTCTGATTGTAATTTATGTTAATTATTTTAGCTCGACGGTGGCGTTGGTGATGTTGGCATCAGGGGCATCCTGTGGGTCTCGAAATTGTACAGGCCACAATAAAGATTGAGCAAGCCATCAGTAAAAATAACTCTTTTTTGACAACACGAGGAGGTGGAGTGATAGATGTTATGACATGAAATTGATTTATCTGTGATCAACCAGTTATTGCCCCAAAAGTCACACAAAAAAAAAAAAAAATCATGTGGATGCTTAAGCCAAAATAACCTCAGCAGATGAGCAATAGGCCTAATTCATTACTAGAACCTGAAACTGTACATAATGGTATTGAGTGAATGTTACTGAAAATATTTGTCTTATCCACAGCGATTCACTTTTAAAGCTACTGTAAAATACTAAAACAAATTCCTGGAGGCACTTGTTGCACACCTCTTTCCTTTGATCAACGGCAGGTCAATGGAGAGGCCACCCTTGATTGGAGGCTAAGAGTGTTTGTGGAGAGCGTGTTGTTGTTTTTCAAAGGCTGAGTAGCACACTCGTGTCACAGAGTCCACCGCACAGATGCCTCATTAATGTGTGATCAAGTACAGACAGAGACAGGTTTGTGGAGCTGAGCCAACTCTCTCTCTTCCACAGAAGGGCCTTTCTGCACCTCACTCCCCTCTCCAGCTCTTTATTGCACCCTAACTCACCTATAATATCCGGTGCAACCTTACCACACTCAGAAAGGAGAGCAAAGCAAGAGGCTGTGCGTTTGTGTGATTGTGTACCTGTGTATGAGTTTGGGTGTGGAGAGATTAACTGGATATCGAGATCTATAAATGTGAGGACAGCAGCTTTTAGCGCTTGCGTCCCTCTGCTTCAATTAGCAGGTTGTGCGGAGATTGGCCCCTGTTGAAGGTGGGCCTGCTGAGAGAGGTAAACACACCTCATCCCCAGGGCTCAGTCAAATCACAGCCAGGCCAACAATACACCACAGGTCCCACCACAGATGCCTGGTTGTGCAAACTGCTAACATGCTTTAGCAGTCATTTCCTATCTTCTACTCCAATTTCCTTGGTCCGGTTCACGCATAGCTGTGAGAGTGGATGGTTCAGCTGGCTGCATAAGAAACCTTTTCTCTCTGGCCATGTGTTTGAGTTTGAAGTCATTTTGGCTTAAAGGAAGGACAAGCTGATTAGACACAGCCACATATTGAGATCAACACAGCCTGTGTTTATTCTGCTTAAACTCAACCACTAAAAAGGTTACTCCAGTGTAGGCTTTCATTAATGTCTTCATACTTTCTTCTTTGTTTGATCCTATTTATTAAAATTATTGCAGTAAACTCTTAACAAAATAATATGGGCCAGAGAAGAACTAATCAATGAATGTTTAATCTATAGTTGACAATTGTAAAGGTAACTAAGTATGCAGCCTACATTTTAGCAGTTATTTCTGTCATCTTCTTAAGCCAATTTTCCAAAACAATTCCAAATGCATGGTGATTTTATTAGGATTTCGGACATGCATGTGGCTAAAAGACATACTTTTAAAATGAACAAGAAAGATTTTCTGGTTTCTGCTGAGCTTCTTGAACATACACTGAGCACAATAAAGACAATGTGCTGTAGTAGTCCCATACTGACCTTAAAACATGTTCAATACCATTAGCTATCCACCAGTCTCTACATGAATTTGGGTCAACCAACGTAAGCCTTCTTATGAACCTTCCTGTACACTGAGCCTATTCAGAGCCCCAAGTGTAAATTGAGATGTAAACAAACAGTTTACTAAAGCAGGTTTAGAGTAATGGCCTCCTGATTGACCTCTACCACTAACAGACATCCACTCAGTTTAACAGGAGTAGTTAAATTGATTCATATAAGACCGACTTAAAACTTCCCACTACGGCAACCACATGCCTAAATTTAATTAGGTTCCACTAATTCCACTAAGGGGAATGCTATGCAATGCTGAAGAAGTGTGACTACTTTTGTAAAATAGTCATCCCCCACAAAATTATATAGACACAAGCAAGAGGTGAGCAAACAAAGAAAGTTAAAAAGCAAAAGTATGTTAAACAGTCAAACCTGATGGGCAGAAGCTTTTGGATAAAAATGCTACAACCATAAAATACAGAAATGATAAAGCCGTGTGTGATAGCTTAAACAGACATATAGCACAAACGTGTACAATTATAAAGGGAAACATAATTAATGTAATGGTTTCTAAATTTGTTACGGCTTTTGCAGCATCTAACTAAAATCTATAAATGGTATGTCCCGTGTGAACTGATCCCTGGGGTGAGGTTTTAAGCTTTCCTCACAACTGCCTCTGTGTGTGAGCCCCTCTCCCATTGAGCCCCAGGACACAGGCCTGTTTGAAGTGAACATCTTATCAGTGCTCACCACCAGTCACAACACCGGTTGTGGTTAATTATCACAACAGGCTTTATACTATAACTACCATAGGCTCAACAAAAACAAAGAAACTGATTGCCTTATAAAATAACATACCAGTAATAACAGTTTGTATGACAATTCATTAAAAAATGTTGATGATGAAACTGATTTTACTACCACTGTGATCAAGAAGTGATTAAAAATATGTCAAAATATTATCACAAATTAGCCATTAAAGGCTATAAATTAGGCCAAGCCTAATTAAGTGAGAAATCTAGCAAATTAATTGGCCAGGGAGAGATCCCTGCATTCTTCCAGTTTCTCCATGGTCACTACAGGACAGAAAAAAATAGCTCAGGGGGCAAGAGCAAATATTCTGAGTCTAAATTTAGACAAACTTTAACAAAGAGCTTTCAGATTGTGTCCCTCTGCTTGACACAGTTCTACATCAGCTGGAACGGGTCAGGTGTTTTGATAGTCAATCAGGACCACGGACAGAGATCTGTGTGGACTGACCTGTTGACCTCAGGGGGCCCAGAGTCTGACCACACATTCAAACCATGGGAAAACACTGGAAACACTCAAATACTGTCACAGAATCTTTTGTTAAAGTGTACTATACTGTGGGAAATACAACACTGCCGTAAGCACTTGGAATTTCTTTACCATACTCAGCTAGTGACCAAATGTCATCCTAGGACTGAAATGAACCATAAACCACAAATTACTTTAAGTTTATAGTACCATTAAGTAGAACGTGACAAGTACAACTATCCATCAAAGGCTCACAGTTTGAGAACCAGGCACATTGACTTTTCAGTCATCACTATGCACATATCTCAAGACCTTCCAGGAAGTTACATAGTCTTATGCTTGCAAACCATACACAATTCTGCCAAATTTTAAATGCCAATCTCAAATCACATGAGAAAGGATCAATAGACAAGCCATCAGCTTCCTTGTCACATGTTTAGACATAGCCTCAAACTACTATACTTTTTGTACAGCAAAAAGTTACATCATACAACTGAAGCGAGGTTTACTGGCCTTAAATCTAAATATAACTGTGCTCACAGCTGATACCCTAGCCCCACTGTGCCGCGTTCAAGTTCGTATTTCAGTGTTTGGACATACCACAAACACTGTACTCCAATGTTTTATCACATATCATTAATTATCAGTATTACAATTAAAAAAATAATTTAGCATTAAGCTATGCTACTATTGGTTGATGAACCAAGAAGCACTTATTTATGTCACTGTCTATCCTTATGAAAATATTATGCTTTCCCAGTCTTTACAAAGGTAGCCGCAGCTAGCTTGACCAAACCATGTAAGCTAGTCATCCCAAACAAGAACTATTTAAAACTTGTGTAATTACGAGAAACAAGTCTACCTTGTTCAAATGGGGGTTTCGGGTGACATCGTAGCCTCTTTTCTTTGTGTACACGAAAGTTTTTCCCTTTTCCTCGCTCTTATGCATCTCTGTTTCCACCGACTCCCGTCACCAGTCCAACGCTGTGTGCCATGTCGTTGTCTCTGTAAATGTAGCCGAGCCCGAGATAGAGCGACCCCGACACTTTTTGTGGATGCGCACGTCCGGATTAGAGACCCAGCCTCTTACAGTCAGTACACTGGTGTAATGTGACAGTACAGGAGGCTATCTTGAGGCTCTTTATCAATGAGTGGTTTTATTATCTCAGCAGGGAGTTCACGAGTGTACTGTGTCACCGGGCAACAGGTGCATTACGGAACCTATGAATGAATGGGTGGAGGTAAGCTTCAGAGCAAATACACCCCTATTGAGTTCTGTTGGTTAAGTCTTAACGTAATATTGTTAATGTATTATAATGTAAGTCATCACTAGAAACGAGTGATTTAGATCAAGTAATTAGGAGCCAATATAATAAAATTGAAGCAGCACCTATTAATTAACACCACCTATGGCTTTATTAGAAATTTATGTTTACCAAACAAGAGTCTCTAGGCAATATAGCCTAGGCTATGTAGTTAAGTTTGACATTCGGAATCTAATGTGTGAAACTAAACTTTTTAAGGAACTGAAAATGGTTCACACAGCGTTCCTCTTGGCTGTAATATTAAGGTTTCATAATAGTCGTGTCATGTGCAAGAGGAGCCTCATCTGACCTATGTGCTGAAGTGCACTGTCAGGAGTTTAGAGGCCTACAGCCTTCACCTTGTCATCATCCATGAGTTATGTAACATTACACAGCAGCAGAGAGGCCGAGAGTGTCCAAAATAGTGTCATGTTCTACATGTTCTGACAGTACAGACTGAATCACCCACAGATTCAAGGCATATTGCTTGTGTGCACTACATAAAAATTGAATATTATATTATTATATTAGGCCTAGGTGTGTCAAGATGCTGTTGATGTCAAAGAACTGATTATGTAGGCCTACAAGTCAGCAGTATAAAGATAACAGAGATAAAGTGCAACTGTCACTCATACCTCATTCATACCTTTGTATAAATCCCTTTGATGGATGTTGAGTATTGAACATCTCCAATAGAGAAGGCAGTCAACACTAGGAGCTTATGTTCACATGTTGCAGAGCTCACATTGTCCCAGAAAATTTTATCACATCTTTAACACTGATCCTGAACTAAACCCATAAAAGGCATAAAAGCCTATTGGGCAACTTGAATCCAGACATTTTATTTCTTCAGTGATAGAGTAAACTAACCACTCAATTAATTGATGTTAAAATTTGTGAAAGTGAGTTTTAGTTTAGTCTGGCTCCTCTGTCCAAACAGAATGACGTTGTCTGTTGAAGTTTTCCCACCTCAGCACTTATTATTCCCACAGTGCAATGCATTCAAATCTGTGCCTATATAACTATAGTTAAAAGTACTGCATTTATTGAAAGTACAGTTAAACTCAACAACAGAGGAAATCCTTAAAATATATATATAGAGAGAGGAAAAGGTCCTGTTTTTATGGACTTTTTAAAAGTGTGCAAGGATTTGGACAGTTGGAAATGATTGGAAACGAAGTACTCTTCTTAACACTGTTATCTTGTTTTGGGACTGATTAGCAAGATATCAGTCAGTCATACCATAAATGTACACTGGACTTTATGCTTCACACTGAATACTAAATGTAAAACAACTACAGCTGGGACTACTTTAAATTTGATCAGTAAAAAACAGACAAAGTGACTAATAAAATAGCTATGTTATCACTGGCTTAAATTCAAATGTACTGTGGGAAAGGAGAGAGGCACAAGCTGCGCGGTGTTGTCAACTGTTTAATATTGATCTGTTCTTGGCCAAATCTCCCCCTATCATAGCAGGTAGTCTCAGCCATGTTTATCAGGCATCCATTTGCAGCTGACAAACATTTCCATGTGTTTGTAAATGGGGAGCCGGAGGGTGCATGTGAGGCAGGGGCAGGATGCCAGTTGGCAGTGGGTGGGCAGTCAAGGGAACTTGTGGAAGCCCCATGAGTCCACCCACACATATTTACAACAGCTGCTGCCGAGGTTTTACACTCAGCAAAAATGTTTGTGTAGTCTACTTTGTATTTTGATCAAAAGTTTGCAATACGCAGTCATAACAATCTTAGTTAGTAAGAGATTATTGTTAAAATTTGAAAATTGATTTTATTATAGAGGATAAATTTCAAAATCTTGGTATAGTGAATGTCTTCCCTGAAGTTACAATGTTTTCTAACTAAATTGCCCTACATTCATTGGTGAGCGGTCAAATTCACTGACCCACAGGTTGGCTGGTGTGATTCTAGCTCCCACAGATGAATGCTGTCATTGTGTCCTTGGGCAAGACACTTCACCTCATCACCCCGCCCCCAGTGTCTGCCTACACTGGTGTATGAAAGTGTGTATGAATGGGTGAGTGGTTTCTTGTTGTAAAGTGCTCTGAGTGCCTTGAAGGTGGAAAAGCGCTATATAAAAATGTGACAATTTGCAATTAATTAATAATATAAGTTAGCGTTAGATAGTGTTATTTTTTTATTTTATTATAACAAGGCTGTGCTACACACAAAAAGGAACTACATATGTACAGTGACCAGAGTAGTGAGTCCTTCCTCACCTCTGACGACATAATGTAAGGTGTCATAAACTGATATATTTGTATGTTCTGGGCTAACAGTCATTTCCCTATGATCTTCTAACAGCATCTCAGGATGACCTGATGTGAAGGAGTCTATGGTGACTGCTTCCAAAGATTATAGTCATAGCAAACATGGAATATCTTGACTAGATTTTACTGTATTATTTTTTTTATTATTATTATTATTATTATTATTATTATTAACAGCCCTCTCCTGCACACCTCAGCTGTCTCCACAACAGTGTGCCCTCTCATGTCTGTGTTTGGGCCTTTGTTTTTGCCTGCAGGCTTTTGGTCAGGAAGAGGAGGAGGCAGCAGACGAACAGTCACACAATAATCTAGCCGCCCACCAACCTATGGTTTTCAGAGGTACTCCATTTCCTCACACTGACAGAGACACCTGGACACACTTCCTGCTCCAGAGTGGTTGGTAAAGAGTCACAAGTGTAGTTGTTAAAAGTGATTATAGCTGAGGTTTATGGGGAAACTACACAGTCTGGATGCGACAGGCACCTGCCATTACAAAAGAGTATACAGAAGAGAGGGTGGCATTATACACTTACTTATTTGATATGGTGTTTAAAGTGTATAGTTAACTCACAATGTAGTTTTTTTGGTGTTACTCCAGTTGAAACTTCAAACTATTTATTTCAGTTTGAAATCCACTTTTTATTATTTACTGTAGTTTTATTTGATACTATTTCATGCCATCGATACAGTTTCATGACATTTGACCATACATTTTTTTTCCATTACCACAACTATTTAGAAAACTTTTATCTGTACATACACATTACAACAAGAGCTATACTTTAGATTGAACAAGTGAAGATACAGAGGTCAGGTGTTGCAGTGAATCAGCTCTTTCTGTGTACCGCTGTGTGTTCACCTGCTATGACCTCAGGGAATTTTGACCTTTCAGTCTGCTTAATAATCACTGCCTCAGACCAATAAACCACCTTACAATGTCCTCTGTGTTGTGTGTTTCCTCCGTGAGTTCACAAACTTATACTGTGCATTCTCTCCCATACTTAAACCGTTCCATAAATCCCACTGGAGCTGGCAGTGTGCTGGTCCAAAACAAATGAATGGCAGTAGAAACTAGAAAAGCACTCAGAGAGCGCAGACCTCCGCTAAGGACTGCCCCCATTTTTTATATAAATTGCGATAAAATCAGTCTTCTGGATCAGATCCGGATCAGCCTTTGGAATATGAAAGAGGATCCCATTGTCCATCCCTGAGTCAAATTTCATGGGGTTTGGTCAATAATTAACCGAGATATTGAGAAACAAAATTTTTGGCCCCATTTACCACAATGTTAACTAAAACTTCAAAGTGATCCAGAATCCAGGATTTCTTCCGGATCACCCCCAAAATGAAATCAGTTCTTCCTTTTTACATTTCCAACAAATCCTGAAAATTTCATCAAAATCGGTCCATAACTTTTTGAGTTATGTTGCTAACAGACAAACAAACAAACAAACAGACAAATGCAAAAACATAACCTCCTAGGCGGAGGTAATTAAAAATGGCACAAACCACATTTCCTATGGAAGTATTTTAGGGGTGTCATTATTGTTGTTTTATCATGAACAGAACATATAGTGTACAAAAAGTGCTTATGGAGTGTTGGGTATTACAGTATTACACAAATGGTCGATGTACCTTGTACTCATTTGCTCTACAAAAAAAAAAGCAAAAAATGATTTCCCTTATTTTATATTTCCATTTCAAAACTAAAACCACATGGCCAGTAGTTTTTTTTTTTTTTTTTTTAATCTGACCTTTATTTAACTAAGAGGTCCATTTGAGATTCAGAATTTTTTTTTGAAGAGAGACCTGATAGCCAACATAATCAATATAAAACAGTTAAATCACAAAGTATCACATTATCACATTGTAAAACCATCTGCATCTCTCAAGAAAAACATATGCATTTCTTGGTCACCACACTTTTACACACTTTTCTTGAACTTATTAAGCACCATAGATTCCAATTTAAGACATTTTTGTAAATGATTCCAAGAGCACAGTGCTGCGTAGGAAAAGGCAGATTTTCCCAGCTCAGTAAGGCACAGAGACACAGTAAAGAGCAACTGGGAGGAGAAGCGAAGCCAGTAACTACCTGAACTGATATTAAGGAGATTACTAAGGTGCCCGGGAAGTTTCCACAGTGTAGCGTTGTAAATAAATAAGGTACTCGAAACACAACTTCAGTGTGAATGAATAATGTGTGAATGCAGTTTCGATAGAGATACAAGGACAGGAGTAAACCAGTAGCTACATGAGAACACATGCAGGCCTAAATGTTGAATGTTGAATTAGGAGTATTTGGAAAACTGAATCTCACTCAGGTGGAGCATTATAACATTTAGTCATACATGTACTGCCTACATATCAGGGACGGAAATGGGTGGATGTTTTAAAAGGGGGTTCCTCAAAAGTCCACAACATTTTCAAAGCTAGTCCATTGCCACTGGGTGTGTATGCTCTTAGTCTCTCTGGTGACTCTATAGTTGACCTTCCCCCAGTACCCCCAAATCAATGGGCTCTTTCACTGATCAGTCTCATAATAAGCCACTGTTTGAGCCAAGAAATATGTGGGGAAGTGGAAAAACAGAGAGCTCTAAGCTGCAACTTTTCTGTCTTGCATTATTAAAGGAGATTGCACTGACATACAGTATGTGTACTACCCAGAGAACGGTCTTGATCTTAATATGTCAGATAGACTTTAGCCAACCTGGAACATATCCTGAGGAAGGCAGCCATTAAGCTTATGTTTTAATGTACCTTATGGGCTAGAGACAGCAGGTAGGAGTGAGTGGAACTTTAAAATGGAAAGAAAATGAATTAAAACTGAGAGGAATAAACAATAATATGGCACTAGACCTTCAGGGTTGGGGCCCTGCAACCTTTATAATGAGTATTTTTCATATTCATGGGTTTCAAGCAAATGATTCCTTCCTGATTTAGACTGACTTAGAGCAATCCCCTTCTCCATTCAAAAGTTATAATATTTTGTTATGAATTACATGCATTTGCCTGAAACCCACAAGAGCGTAAAATTTGAACTTACCTAAACCCTACAGCCCTAGTGTTGAGAGACTGTTTTTGATCTAACTAACACAGTAGAAATGCCCAGCATCATCATCTCTGAACCGTGTTTTAATCTTTCAACGCCACTCAGTGTTTATCTTCAGTGGAAGTTTACAAATAAAAAGCTCTGAGATGTTGTTATTGCTTTTCATCTAATCCATTACTTCTGGCAGATATGTTTGTCACATGGTCGTTCTTCCGTTCTCACATCAATTTAGGCAGTATTGTGAAATAACAACATTGTCCAAATCCTTATGCAAACACACAATGTATTTGTTTCAGCATGTCTAAATAGTTCAATCCTGATGTAACTGCAAATCTAACTTTCATAGATACATGTACTGTGTACAAGTCTAGAAAATGTTATTCAAAAACTTCGTATAGTCTCTTCTAACTTCACATAGTAACTATGAGAGGTGATAGTTTTAGTCTTTAGGGAATGTTTATTTTGCTTTCTTTCAGGCTTTCTTGTATGGGTAAATGTTTTGGCTCTGTTAAGATATATGAAGATAGAAGACATGTGAACAGACTTATACTCACTGCATGACACAAAATCCTGTTGAGTAGTATAACACTCACAACAGAAGTGGAAGAATATCATTGCGTGTGATGGAGATTGAGAGGTCAGCGATCAACCAAAGATGTATCTAGTTTTAGGTCACAATTTTAAACTTTTGGGTTGTTGAACTACCCATTTACCATAGCAAAGCACACATTACAAGATCATCAATCAAAGCAGGGAACCTCATAAGTTTAAACATGATTGTCAACCGTGTAACAAGAGGCCATTTGTTTCTGTCCACTGAAAACACACTGTAATCTAGGAGACGGCTACCATGCTGTACTGTGCTTGGAATGGTGCTGCCTTGGTGTATTTTGGTTGTTGCCGGAGAGGATTATGGGTAACTGCAGCCAAACCAGTCACCACAGCACACTGGGCTGTGCAAGAACAGTTCATTGAGTGTGCTGCAAACTCAGCAACTTTTTTCTTTTTAAAAAAATTTATTGTGTAATGTTAAAAATGTGTACAAATTGGCAATAATAAAACATGCATCTTTTATAATAGTTTGTCATACTGTTGTTGTTTTTTTTTTTTTTTTTTTATGCAGTTTTATATTCAAATTCCTGGATATAGAATGTTGGTTGGCTGATACAATACCAGGGTTCTTAAACTTGTTGCATTTGATTCTTGTCATTCACCAAGATGAAATTGAGTGTGTTTCAGATTTCCTAGTTCCTGTTTTGACGCTCCATGTTAAAACAGCGGCATAGCTTTGACCTGGGTCAGCCCTGTGTCTGCAGCTGGACTGTGGACGTCTGTTCACTTACACATGAAATTCAAAGGAGCACGTGTGAGTCCACTCAGCCTTTCATCCATCATACAGGCCTCTTCTCTTGAGATCGGCATGCTTACCAACCATTAACCCAAATATTTTTAAATACATTTGAATATAGACTTCAATCTTAGCAGGGCATTTAGCTAGCTATGCCATAACCTTTGATTACTGTATGCGTGAACCAAGCATAAAAATGTTGAGGGCACCATCAAATCAATGGTACTCTGTGTGAGAGAGCTTGTGAAGCTTTGAGCTGTCTAAATAAAAGTCAGCTGGTTTATTGGTGTGGTTTGCATAAGGATTTACTTTAATGTGTACAGCTAAATTCATCCAAAAGGGCAATGAGGCTAAAGACACATACACAGATACACAGACAAACACACATACATATATAATATAACTTTGGACAAGTGGGACTAGTATAGATTTAAGTATTTAACTGTAAAATTGGTCACTTTACAATTAAAATACATAGTGAAAATCTGTACCATCTTTAAAGAAAAAAAAAAAATCACAGCAAAACCTCAGGTGGGCCTTCACATTTAACTGTCCAGCCTCCAGTTCGCTGCTGTGAGGATGACCATGTTCACCCCCAAAATACAAGTAATGAAATTCCTCACACTGAGCTCCCACCAACAGGCACAGGTTGAATGCTGTAGAGTGCAAAGGGCGCACTTCCTGTGAGGGTGTGACCCACAGCACAAAAGGGCCTCTATGGCCCCAGACCACAAACATCACTCAGTGCTTTTCTATTTGAGGGCCACATAGGGCTAAAAGCACTGGCACATCTTATCAATGTTGTCTCACTGCTCTTCTGTGACCCTTGACCTTGGACATAGCTGGAAACATAGGTTTGCACTGTGTTGGTGATGGACATGTGAGTCACAGTCAGAGTTTGGGATGTTGTCATAAGAATCTTCCTATTAGTCAGCTAAAAATACAAAAATAAACCTATGTTATTTCAAGACATTTTAACCATTGTATTTTCCATCCCCATTTGCTTTCCTTTTAGAGTGGGAATAATTCACGTCAAAACAATATACATTTTATTTCCTTTTTTGCTTTTTACATTTCTAGTCAATTTGGCCCTGGATTCAAACCCACTTTTCCATGGACTAGTTCATTTGTCAACAACACCATAAAACTCAAGATCTGGTGCTGCAGACATGTCATTTGTAAATCAGAGTACAGCAGATAAGAGAAGTTGTTCACCACTCAGGTTTTGTCTGCACATTTTAATACCTGCTCCACTCATCCTGGGGCAGGTGGAATTTCAAATTGATTTGTATGCAGTGCTGTTGTTATCCTCAAAGTAATAACACATGCATGACTATCAGATCCAAATGAGACTTGCTTCTCATCGTCCAGATAGATCCTCAGTTTCCCTACTCTTCCTCTTTTCACGCATATTTTCCACTTCTCTTTTTGGCTCATTGAAAGCTCAGCCACTCATCACCTGCCTCCAACCGCTACATTTCAATGGGATTTAGAAACAAACATCTGTCAAACAATGAGTCTAAGCATAAAAAGTAGAACTGTAACTCCAGAATATCTGTCTAATTTTCTAACATCTTAATTAATTAAGATGTTAACAAAGGGGAGGAGTTGGTCATTTTGGTGGTTCTTATCACATTGTGATGTGCTCTGTATGTTCATCTGTATTTTCTAGCAAAAGATTGAACTCTCAGCTGTACACCATGGTCCTTTTTTTTTTTTTTTTTTAGATCATTGCCCATAAATGCCTAAAATACTGCTTTCAGTATTCAGTTTATGGAGTATTGTTCTTATGTAAGATTCAGAGTTACATAAAACAAAACAAAGCACGACTTGGTGTGTTGAAGGATGACAGAAGAACACAGATGCTGTGCTCAGTGCTCAGTGCCTCAGGATGGGACACTTGGAGAATTCTTTGGTTTAAAAAAAAAAAAAAAAAAAAAAAAGGAAGGGGAAAAATTAAAGAAAAAGATAGTGGCGGAACTATGGAAGCCCATTTCCGCCAGTAAATAAAAAATAAAAGCCTCACAGAAACTCATAATTACGACTTTTAAACTCATAATTAAGAGTTTAAAAGTCGTAATTATGAGTTTCTGTGAGGCTTTTATTTTTTATTTACTGGCGGAAATGGGCTTCCATACGGAACTTAAACGCCAGAATCCCCATTGACTCAGAACCCCACTTTTTTCATTTTGCAATAGGGTCTGGGCGCACACACCTCCCGTCCACGGTCTGGACCACTGCCTTCACCCAATTCAGCCTCTGCTTAGCATTGGCCCCACCCATTTGTGAACAGCTTTCGTCACATGTGAAAAAAGTTTCTTTTCAGATTTTCCCCTTGCCTCCTCCTTCCGTCCCTCCTCAGCATCAAGAGCAGGCTCAGGCTGCGTCCGGCTCGAGCTGCGGGAGAAGCGATGAGGAGAAGTGAGCGTGCGTCCTGCTCACACAGGAACGTTTAGGATGCAATACCTTTAATCGCCTTTTGCCTGGATTGTAATTGTATTTTACCAAGGACAATAAGCTACTCTGCGGCTTTGACTTCCCCGTCAATCGGATGCGAGCAGGTAACCTTCATCTAGTATGCACGTATAGTTTCCTCATTTGGGCAAGAAAGTGTTTGGTCCTCTTGGATTAATACTTATTGTTTTGTATTTTCTATTCCAATAGGCCTATTGATTATTGGTTTTTTCCCATTAATTATGTAAAATCACATTGCTTTGAGAATTTCAGACCTACCTATTTGAGCAACTGGCAACTGCAGGTGTGTTTTATGTTGGCGTTTTGTATTCTTTCTATAAAATCAGTATATAGCTAAACTATGCGATAGTAATGAGTAAGCTCTTTTCACATTATTTGAAGTTCATTTGTTTAAGTTTACATAACGTGATGAATGTTCTCACAACTTCTAGATCTGATTTCTATTTGCTTTCCTGACCTATTTTGGTCGACTATTATCTGATACTCACTAGGCCTACTCAATTTATAATCTCTGTGAATATGTAAAGTGTGTAAATGGATCAAGATGATAAAATTTACCTTTTTATAAACGTGTTCTTGAACTCAAGCGTGACCCTAACCCGTGCATAAAACAGAGAGAGTTTATCTACGTCGCCATCTACTGGTGTTTTTTTGTTTTTTTTTTTCCCTCTGATTGAACTCAAAGAGGGTTGTGGAGAGCAGCACTTAACTGTTAGCTTATTGCGATGGAAAACACTAGGGGCTTCTATGACAAGAGCCAATAGGCCTATAGTTTCCACTATGTGCTCCGTGATTGCTTTATTTTATGTCTACGTCAAATTGGGAGACATTTTTGTTATTTCATTTGTTGAATATGATCTACAATTTAGTTATTGTCTTTGTATTAGTATATCTGCTGTTGTGATGCAGTTTCAACCACGCATTTTAATTGGTTGCAGTAAGGCTAAGTGAGTAAATGTATGCAAACTTTATCCCTGTTAGAAACTTACTTTATAATTGTCTTTGGCATACCTGATAAATTACATGAGGTCCACAGGTGAATGTGTACATACCATTTTCCATTTGACAACTTCCCCTGAGAGACTAACCAAGCATGACTACATATAACTGTGAAGCTCACTTAGTCTTTTCCTATCTTGTGGCTCAGTCCCCCAAGAATACATCTGTAGTTGAATACATCTGTCACACATGATTTGATCAACTAATAAAATCACTATAGTCTTTTACACTAGATTTACATTTGCACTCATAGCCATGTCCCAAGTGGTTTTGCCAATGTTTTAACAGCCTGTGTGATCTCATAACCACATGGCCATATTGACTAATAAGTGAAGGTCTACTGATTCTATTAAACATGTGTAAAATTTAATTTTCTGTATTGTCATCAAGAATACTGGCAACCTTGGGCCAATAAAGCCATGGGCCTTTTGCTGTCGGCTCGCTGTCTACTGCAAGTTTTAGTCATCTGTAAACTTGGGCAGGCAGCAGAGAGGAGCGGGGGGAAACCAGATATGGTCATTACACCAAGAGAAGGTTAACCATTGTGGCCAACCTCCAAGCCACTGTCTCAGCCCATGCAGAGCCTCACACTGCCCACAGCTGCAGGCACAGTTGAAAGCTTTTTGACCACATGTGCAATATAAGAGAACTTCAGACAAATCCTCAATGCATAAAGTAAATTAAAACAGTGTGCCAGTCGTTATACAGACAAGGCAGTGGGACGCATGAAACACACTAAGGGCAAAGCCTTTATTGTCAGTCAAGGTTGGAAAGGCCAAATGCACACAAGAGCAGATACTGCCCTCTAGTGGCTATAAATATACATTTTTGAAAGAGCTTGGCCAAAAAATGTACTTGGAGTAAAAAGGCAAACTTTGTTTCAGATATAAATATTAATTTGTATTGTACAGAAATTGTATAAATTACTTAATTTCACACAAAAAACAATGTTTTTCCATAATGATATTAAGTATAGCAAGTTTATTTGTATAGCACAATTCATACACAAAGTAATTCAATGTGCTTAGTGCGCAGAAAAAGAAAGACATTGAAATCACAATACAAACAAATAAAAACATTAATAATCATCATAAAATAAACATTCAAAGAGAAGACTGCAGAATAAAAACCTTTCAGTCACATGCACAGTTAAACTTGATCACCTCTATTTATAGTCTGTGTTTTTCCCCTCCAGAGCCAGGCCCGAGTCAACCATGGGCCCCATACCATTGTGCGTGCTGCTCCTCCTCTCTCTGGTTGTCCTGTCGGCTGTAGCTACAGTAGATGATGACTACACATGGCCTCAGTGGAGCGTGCCTCTGGTGAGGAACAGGCAAACCACACTCCTCTCCAGCCCCAACTTTTCTGCACAATCTCAGGAAGAGCTCAGTGGAACATGTGGGATTGAATGCCAGCGCCGCCTCCCTGTGCCCTCTCTCGATGATGTGGAGCAGTTTTTGTCCTACGAGACCGTCTATGACAATGGAACACGCACCTATACTTCTGTCTCTGTACAGGGGCTCAATGAGGTGAGCTCCTGGTCCAATAATGCCACTTTCCACTCCCGGCACAAGAGGGAGGTATACGGCACAGACACCCGCTTTACTATTTCAGACAAGCAGTATTCCACTAAATACCCTTTCTCCACCTCCGTCAAAATCTCCACTGGATGTTCGGGGGTCCTGGTGTCGCCCAAACATGTGCTAACAGCTGCTCACTGCATCCATGATGGAAAGGATTATCTGGATGGGGTGCAGAAGTTGCGGGTTGGAATCCTGAAAGAGAAGTCCAAACGTGGAAAAGGACATAAGAGGCGAGGCGGGGGAGGAGGTCGAGGAAAGGGTAAAAAGAGAAAGGGAGATAAACCAGAAGAGGAGGCCCCAGTGGATAGTACCGATAAACCAGATCGGAAAGGCAGAGGCAGAAAGAGCCGCAGCAGACGCAGTATTGAATCAGAAAAACCATCTTTTAAGTGGACCAGGGTTAAGAAGACCCAGGTACCTAAAGGCTGGTTCAAGGGTGTTTCTAAAGGACTGGCTGCTGATTATGACTATGCACTCCTGGAGCTGAAGAAAGCCCCCAAAATCAAACACATGGATCTAGGTGTAATCCCATCCGTCAAGAAACTCCCTGCAGGAAGGATCCACTTTTCAGGTTTTGATGATGACCGACCTGGCAACCTGGTGTACCGTTTCTGCTCTGTCTCCCAGGAGTCCAGTGATCTACTGTACCAGTACTGCGACGCCAAGCCAGGTTCCAGTGGGTCTGGGGTCTACATCCGACTGAAAGAGCCTGGCAAGAAGAAGTGGACAAGGAAAATCATTGGCGTTTTCTCAGGGCATCAGTGGGTGGACGTTAATGGCAATGGGGCACAGCAGGACTACAACGTGGCAGTGAGGATTACCCCACTCAAATACGCCCAGATCTGTGAGTGGGTGCATGGGGACTCCAGTGAGTGCAGGGTGGCCTAATAAGTCCTCTGTCCAAGCTCAGAAAACACTCACCAACAAGACAACCAGGGGCCCAATGACTGCCTGGCCTTTTCCTTTTTTGTTACCTCTTGCTTAATCAGTGGGTCCAACGCTACACAGCAATATAGACTTGTGTAGAAAATTGTGGCTGTCTATATTTCTAATTTATTTTCCAAACACAGAATATAAAATGTAGTAAGGATATAGATTAATTTGATATGAATGCTTGGTTGTGATTCTACAAGATATTTAGCCACCTTAATGTTTTCGGGGCAACTTTTTTGAGATATTTAGTTTATTTGCGTATGAGGTATTTTAGGTGGCTAACAATAACTATAATCAGACATTTTTGAATCAGGTCTAAAAGTTGAAATGTGCAGTTCAATCCTTGGCATTTCAGTTGTTTTTAGGAGTTTTTTGCTACTACTATTTGAGATAAGACTATTCTTATGAGAAAGGGATGCTTAATGATCCTGTATGCGAGGTGCTTTATAGTGAAAACAGTTTTGCTACATTCTTGCAACACAGTGAAATTAGGTTTCATTGTTATGCACATAATTCCACAGGTGCTCTTCCAGAAGTCGTGGTGCTAATTTATAAAATGATAACTGTTTTAAAGTTGTGAGTTAGAGAAAAAAAAGGACATACTATATTTTTGACGGCCTAATTTTTATGTGGCTTCATGAGATCTATGAAGATGGGACTGAACCATTCACCATTTTACTTGAGTTGTTTAGATTTGTTAAATAAAGTTGAACAATCTTGTTTCTGAATTATTATATACAGTGTATATAATCCAAAAATGTTTGTTGTCGTTTTATATACCAAATATGAATTGAATGATGCTGACTGACAACCATTAAAACAAGATAATTACTGGTGTGGTGTTTTTAGTTGACGTGCCCCCATACATATTGTATTGTTGGTTTGCATTACAAATCATATTATTTTAAAAGGTGTAGATACAGGATCCATTTTGAAGTTCTGATATTCTGAAATTAGATCAAATTAGGTAGTATTGTCTTAAACTTTCATAACTATCTTATCTTAGCAAGATGGAATTACATCCATTTACCTATTTTGTAGTTCACAGTACTTATATGGGGAGCATAATGCATGGTGTTTTCCACTTAAACTTCATTGGTTGGATGTTATGAATCTAAAATTCTTGAAGGCCATGAGTACTACTTGGATGTATACTGTACATATGTGCTTATGGAGCAAGTTGGCATTCATCAGGTTAAAATGACACTTTCAATGCTTTTATGATTGTTATATTTTCTGGTGTGCAGTAGGACAATAACCTGGCTCAGCAAGATTAATTCTCCTACACAAAACAATCTGTTGTGGGCCAGGTTAGTAGGAATGAAAAACACTGGTATTCAAAACCTTTTGGTTTGTCATGAAATTTATTGCATCTCATAGGGCTTACATGCACTAGGGTTTGGGCCATTGTAATGAAAATAACTTTACAACTGAAGAAAAATACAGTTTTAGTATTTGTAAAATGTGTATAATTTCCCACAACTTTCTCCAAGTAACATCAGATTCTCACAACCAAGCACTGAACATACTTTTGGTAACACAAAGACTGTGATGTCACTGGCCAAAGCCAGTCCACCTTAACAACATGGGCCACTGAGATTCAACAGGAACAAAAGTACACAATATTATTAAGTGTATTACTGGTTGAGTTGTCTGCTGTATGTACTACACACATTATCAGGCACCATTTCTTTGTTAATTCTTTGCATTGTCCACACATATTTCAGATTTATTTGCATTCTCATAATTCTGGACTAAAAGGCATTTTTATTAAAGAAAAATAACTTATTATTGTCCAGCTGTGTTGGGCATAAGACACTGCCTTGAACATTATAGGGACATTTGAGTTGTATTGTATTGAAATCACAAGCAAACATGATCAGTGTCAACTTATATTGTCTTAAAATGTCAGTAGATTTTTTATTATTTTATTATTGGGAGATATCGTCCCAAATTGCAAAATCACAAATCTGCAGCTGACTGAGGACTACTGTACAAAACAACAGAATAAAATAATACATAAAAGACAAAACAATCAAAAATAAGCCACGACTTTAAATAAACACAACAGAAATTGCTGGTCTTGAATAATTAAGAAGCCCATAGATGTCATTTATTCACTATATCAATAATTTAGCAGACGGGAAATAGATTACACAATTTCTTACATTTTCTTCAGATTCACAATTATTTAATTCTCTTCAACAGACATACAGAGTAAAGACATAATAATCCTCAAATCAGGAAATCTATATACATCAATGAGGACCGCTCTGTAAACATCACATGACCAAAATCTAACCACTCTTATCCAATCAGAGTGGGGAGACAATGAAAAAGCCTGCCTCTTTGAGCAGATACAGTTATGGGTGGAGCATGAGACACCAAAGCACATCCATCATTCAACTCAGCACTAGAAATAACTTTAAACACATACAGATTCGCCTTCACTTTCTCTCAACTTTTTTTTAAAACTTTTTCCTCCAAAGTTTGTGGATTTGACAAAAGATTAGTAACATCTACAAGAGCACACACATGTTTTTTTCTCACTAATATATTTTCATAGATATCTGCTATGGTTCACTTTCACAGTTTGTGCTACGACATCACACAGGAGAGAGGATGGTGGAGCAGAGTTACCGAGGTGGACAGAGGGACAGAGGAGCAGTGACTGGAGTCCTGAGATGTTCACAGACACCAGGTGGATGAGAGAGGGTCCTGGGCAAGAAACATGGACACAACACATGACCATGTTATTATTATTGACAACCATATGTAATAAGGTTGTGAACTAATAAGTACTTTATACATTTTACAATATATAATTGTGAACTCAAAATTAACTAGATCAAGTTGTGGTGATAGTCACTGTAAAACTAAAGAAGATGAGTCCTACCAGGAGGTTATAAGAAGTCCTTGAGATCGAGTTCTGCCAGAGGGTCCTTGGGTTTCTTGGGACTTTGACTTGCAAGTCCTGGGGAGAGCTGAAATAGGACATTCCAGAGAGATAAGCAAAACACTAGCCCTAACTGGAATAAGATTACCACTAAAAGTTTTCTGTCCTACCGGTGCTCCAGGTGGAGCCGCTCCGGGTGCTCCAGCAAAGGGGGGTCTCATCATGGGCTGCCCCATCATGGGCTGTCCCATTAAAGGCTGCCCTATCATTGGCTGCATCATTGGAGCTCCGGGGGCTCCTGCGGGTGGCTGGAACAATAATAATAATTATGCTGATCAAATTCTCTCTACATTTGGGGTAGCTACAGTTTAAATCAAGCTCACCAGTCCAAATCCTGGCTGCATAGGAGGCACCATGGGTCCACCCGGGGGCACTGTTCCTGGGGCTCCTGGAGCTGCTGTAGGAGCCTAAATGGACAGAATGGAAAGTTTTGAGAAATGGACATACCATAATATCATAATAATAATAATAATAATAATACTTAGAGTCTTACCAGTGGGGCGCCTGGGGCTGTCCAGGTGGGTGGAGCTACTTGGGGAGTCCAGTTAGCACCTCCTGTCAGCTTTTTCTCACCAAAAGGATCCCTAGGAAATATGATACACTGTAAGAAACATGACTCTAAAAACAAACAATAATTATGTCACAGACGGCACTAAACTTAAAACAAAGTGAAAATGCAGCCAACATTAAAAGTCCTACATTGCACCAAATGGATTCTTGTGAGCTTTAAGCCATGTTATAATATTGTTACCTCATCAAAAAACATAACTGGTGTTTTCTTTCATTCACAAATTTTTGAGTAGTCCTTTATTAGTCTATCTAATCTCCAAAGCTCAAATGCTCCGTTTCACCTTGCGATGTCATGTAGTTGTAATTTTCATGTCAACAGCTGCTTTCTATGTTTAGTTCAATAGAGACAGGCAATTCTAGGGCTGAAATTATCAAAATGATTAAGTGTCTGGAGTTTAAAAAAACAGTGAAGCACTTTCATCACAAGGTGGAGTGTTTTCTATTTGAGAGAAGAAATCAGCCTCAATATGCAGGGTTTGTGTGTGAAAGACATGTGAATAAAACAAAACCCCAGGTATGTTTTTGATGTAGAAACATAAATTGCATAACTTTAATATTAGAATTAGACATTAGCCATTTTACCAGCAGGACAGATATTTGAACATTCTGCGCCCTTACTTTTTCTTGACTCCAAGATCTGAAAGAGAAGAGAATAAACCATATAAAACCTATAATTTTGTTCTACTGTAAAAAACAAACAAAGAATAAACAAACAAACAAACAAAAACCCTAACAGGTATCCAAGATTCTGTGCCTCACCTCCCACCAGATTGGCGAGTGATGAGTCCAGGTCCTCTGAGATAGTTTTAGTGAGGGGAGGGGTGGCAGTCATGGGAGCAGAGGCAGGAGTGCCCACACTGCCCGCTGTACTGCCCGTGGTGCTGCCTCCTGTGCTCTGTGGTGTGACAGCAGGCATCAGCAAGTCGCCTAATCCACCAAACACTTGAGGCGGGACAAAGACAACAGACGGATTACAATCGTCAAAATCTCTAATCTGTAATCTAATGTAAAAGTGAGAGCTGACTGAACAAGAGGGGCACAATCCAGCTGTGACAGAGGAGAGCTTCATGCAAAGACCTGTCAGTGTCCAATAGGAAGTATTACTTAACCTAAACAGTATAACACTGGAAGGTTAATATAGGGCTGGGAAATTACTTATAATCTGAATTATTATTATTTTTGAACAATAATTTATTGTCTTTTTAACAAAACAGAATAATACAATAGGTGGTCCAGAAAGGGTTGCCATATTTTATAGTAAGTGTTTGAATTGCCTTTTAACAGCGCACTGAGGCGTTCCATTGGGAAAATTTTAAAAGTCTCTCTGTACCATTGTGTAACAGATGGAGGTTTTGCCTGTATCCACTGAAGCAGGATGCACCTTTTTGCCAGGTGTAAAAGTTTACGTAGTAACATCATCTGCCCGGGTAACACAGGCAGCCTCTTCGACAGGCCAAAAAGAAATAAAACAGGCTCCACAGGGACAGCTCGATGAAAAATGGAGCGGAGCTCCAAAGCAACATTAATCCAAAACCTAAAGTAACAACGGACACTGCCAGATACAATGGTAATAAGTCCCCACAATGTTTTTACATTTTACACAAAAAGGTGAGTATTGAGGGTGAATCTTATGCAAGAATTGAGGAGTACGCTGATAATGTGAATTTTTTAATGGTCCCTTAACAGAAGATCATGATCACTGAAGCACATGCCATCAATTTGGGCATTAAGTGGGAGGAGTTTTTTAACATAACCTTTGACTTATTTCATTTTTGTGGACTGAAAGATTAAACAATGTATTGTAATTACCCAGCCTTACATTAAAGTCACATCTTTTACTTAAACAATAAACTGTGGCATCAAGGTCCAAGTATGGAGCGTGTTTTCCAGATACAAATAACATTTGTGTTCTTTGATTATTGCAGTAAATTACACTGTAGCCTTGATTGCACAAATCACAAAACCTGTCAAACACTTAAAAAAAGTAGGCATACAAAAGTAAACAACATTACTGCAAGAGACAGAGCATGCAAAATTAGACCATAATTAAGCATGAAGGGGCAAGCATCGCAACACACTGAGGGACTGAACTCACCAAATACATATTAGAAGAAGCAAGCAATGACCCAGCAGGGATAGAAATTGGGATAAAGGAGTGTATAGCAGAAGATAGAAAGTTAGAAACAGTGAGCGATCAGTTGAAGTCAGTGGCCAAGTGAGAAGGTGAAGAAGGCACATTTGGTGCAAGGTAAGAGAGAGAGAGAGAGAGAGAGAGAGAGAAGAGAGAAAGAGAAACACAGAGAGAGAGAGAGAGAGAGAGAGAGAGAGAGAGAGAGAGAGAGAGAGAGAGAGAGAGAGAGAGAGAGAGAGAGAGAGAGAGAGAGAGAGAGAGAGAGAAGAAGAAGCATTAACAGCAAAGAGTTAATCAGTCAGCAAATTGCATTAGAGATTTTTAACGAGGACAGTGACTGCAGCCGAGAGTGTCTTTCATGCGCAAGTGGGCTCCCAGTGACAAACAGCTGTAGCTGATTGAAAATATACAAATCAAGCAGTGAACTTATGCTAACATAAAGACATCAGCTTAATACATTCAATACAACAGTGACAGCTGATTACTAAAACAAGTGGAACTTACTTGATGGATCAAATCCACCAGATGGCGCTGTTGTTGCTGCTGCTGGTTCTGTGGCTGTAGCACCTGGAATGAGGGGCACAGCCGAGATGGTTGCAGGGACAGGAGGAGTGGGAGAGAGAGAGAGAGAGTCCAGACCATCAAAACCAGACTCCAGGAGGTCATTCTGAACTGGTGCAGGGGCCAGAGCTGGAGCTGGGGCCAAGGGAGGGACTGTTGTAGGAGCCAGGGTGGGGGACATCAGACCTACAAGGGCAAAGGGCAGTTAGGGTAAATAGTGAAACAAAAGACTAGAGCACTACAATCTAAGTCTAGAGATGAATAGATATAGTAAATAAATTAAATAATTCAATTATTAAATCATTTTAATTAATCCACAAAAAGTAAACCCAAATGTGAAGTAATTTTTTGTCAGTTTTGTTAGTTTGACTAGTCACATAATAGAGGAATAGTAATTTATTAGACAATGTTAATGAAAGTAAATTCAGAATTCAGAATTTCAATATGTGAAAGTCATTTGCTGTCAATTGCTGTTTCCTCTCACAATAATCATAACACAAAAAGTATATATTGCAACATCCTCAAGATGTGGGGGTACGTGGGTAGCTGGCTAGATTAAAGCATTAAGCTAGTTGTTGCTACTGCTGCTGCTAAAGCAATAAAGGTATGGCATCACGGTTTGGGGTTGGACATTTTATCCATCTTTATAATTTGTGCAAAGCCACTTAAGAATAGCTGAGTAATGAAATGTGAACTGTCATGCCTACTCTGTGTCAGTATTAATCTCACAAATGTGTCTCCATTATTACTGACTACATAATGTCTTAATCAGCACAAAGCATTTGGCACATGTCATAATTCTGCCCGCAAGTTTCAGATTTCATGCACATATAGTACATACCTCCTAATAGGTCTTCACCAGTTCCACCAGGAGCAGATGTTTTGGTCTCATCTACTGGGCTGCCAAAGGTGTCTGTAGTGATCAATAATGCATCATGGAGGGAAGAAAGATGTAGTTAGTAGTCAGTATATGTGAATTGTCTATATGTATAAATAATCCCAAGAACAAACAAGGATTTAATTAACTACGAAGTAGTTTATTATCCAAAGGACTTTACTGCAGAAAATTAATATGACAAAATTTCTAAATGATTTATAGTTAGCTACAGATCAGCATGCACAAGTCTCTAAATGAGGATTTTCAGAATAAACCGAAGATCAGCAATTGCATTTCAATGGAAATTGATCCAACATTGAATTTATTATGATCAAAGTGGATCAAGTTGAAATATGTTTTACAGTCCAAGTTAACATCCTGCCAATGTAAATCATATTTATTATCCTCTTCTAAAGGCGCAAACATGCATTTATGCTTGTGTTGTGTGTTTTCGTGATTTGGTGTTGCAGTACATACCGAGTAGGTCAATGACGGGGGCAGGCTCTGTTTTGGGGGGAGTAGTTGCCTTTGGGGCAGTGGCTTCAGCTGGGGCAGCTGCAGCAGGGGCTGCAGCAGGGGCTGAAGCTGGTGTCGATGAGGGCGTTGATGCTGAAAACGTGTCTAAAAAGAAGAAATGAAATGAAAAAAATTACCAACAAACTAAGAATGATTAGAAGCGCAGTTTCAAACCAATATCTGTTCTAGTGTTCTTTTAAAAGGCGAGGAAGCATGCAGAGAGATGAGTAAGCAAGCACTATTTGAACTGCATCATAACTGTATGTCCTCATCCTTGAGGGGTGCACCATTTAGAAGTATATCACTGATGTTAACAAACACCAGTTCCATGCATAAAGTTAATAAGGCTGGCTGCACTCTTCATAAAGTAAACAGAGGGAACAGTGATGCAGTAAAATAGCACAACTTACCAGTAACGATGTCTCCAGCCGGTACAGGTTCGGGCAAAGGAGAGGGCCCGCGTGAAACAGCAGGGAGGTCTAAGTGACCAAGCCAAAAGCAGTTTATGAGAAAGAAGAAAAAAGCCCCATAGCAAAGAAAAGTGTTAGCTTAACGGAAATGGCAGTGGGTGTGGGTAAGAAGCATAGCCACAATCACCATTTAGCACCAGACAAGTGGGTCACATGCAGAGTGCTCATACCACTATGGGGACAAACCAAGACGAGGATTCAAAAACAGAAGACACATGGAAATAGTCAACGTGAAAACCCGAAGAAGGTATAGAGAGGTCCCAAACAGAAAATAAATGGATATGCAAACACTTGTACCTGCACCAAAAAGGTCTACACTAGGAGTGGTAGCAGCTTTGGATTCTGTGGTAGGGCTTTGCTCAGGCATTGAATCAAACATATCTATGGACAAGGATACAGATGGACATTCAGAGTTCAGTGCAAAAAAGATGAGTTGAGTAGAAGAAATGAGGGGAGAGCACAGCAAATTAGTACTAGTGTATTCTGTCAGTGCAATGCAATCAGAGTGCAAAAGTTAAAGGGGAATTGTGGCTGAAAAAAATTACTGTGCATAAAGTAATCCATTAAATGGTTCTGATTCCAATTAATTCTGAATGTGTCGCCACAGACTGTAACAACAGTAGGTGTATTCATTCAAAACCAGCAGATTTCCCTTTAACTTGAAGTGCTATAGTTGTAATCAAGCATACAGTGACAAATATGTGTCTAGTTTATTGGTCTCAAACTCGAGAAGAGAGAACATTTTTCCCTGAATAATTTCAGTTTTTATTCTGCTACTAATCAAAACAACAACACCTCTGCTATTTGTGTAACAGCAAAAGCACATTTAATTTCTTCATATTGGCCAAAATTCGAACTAATATTAAGTGTATAAAAGTGTATTAAACCAATTTAAATAAATGTTTGTTTGTATTTTTGCAATATTGATAGAAGCACTGATTAAAGTTATGCTTTTAACTGACATGGTTTGCAAATTTTAGGACGAAGTGGATAGTTATCTCTGGGTACAAAATTATCAGAAAATTGAAAGTATAAATATTGTATGTCTGACTGATGTTAGTAGCCTTGTAATAACATTCATATTTTTGGCATTGTTATTATCAAAGTATCTAAATTATGAAAACCATCACCGTATGTCCTGCACATATAAAAAAATAAGTCCAGTTATAAAATGTAGACAATGTAATGCTTGATTATTTAAATGGCCATGTGCTGTGTAACTGAAGGAAAGTTAGTATGGAAAACAAAAGTAAATCTGAAATGTAGGGACTAGGCAGGTTAATCAACATATCATCAAAAATTCATCATCATCATTAGAGTGCAGGGCAAAGCAGAGGCAGAATCATAGCAAAAGTTTTTTACCACCAAAAAGGTCTATACTGGGAGCGGCTGTGGACTCTGTGGTAGCTTTGTCAGTTGTTGTAGTAGTAATAGTAGTAGTGGAGGTTGTGGATTGGGCAGGGGCAGCAGGGGCAGCAATGGGAGCAGCGATGGTCGGAGCCTCACTGGATGAAGGAGGAGTGAGAGTAGCTGGGGCAGAGGCGGCGCTGTCCGATTCAGTCGGTCTCATGGCAAAAAGGTCCAGCTCTGGTGCCATGCTGGTAGATCCCTCTGTCGTGGCGAAGGGGTCTTCAGCAGCAGAAGTGAAGTGGAGTTATGGAGGTGTTAGGAGAGGAAAGGGGAGGGAGGTCGTGGATATGGAGGGAGTGGTTAGGGGTTGTTAAAACACGGTAAAAAGCAGAGTCTAATATATGAAGTACTATATTGGCTGGACAAGCTATGATAATGCTACGCACAAACAGGAAGACCAACACAGAAATCTAACTTTATTACTCCATAAACATGCAACAACCACTTCCTGCATAATTGTTTGTTCACTGTGTCCTGTCTCTTGTCATTACCAAGTGTGCATTTCTGTGTTGAGAGATCTACAGATGAAAATTTTTCATCTTGCTTTTAAAAAAAATATTATTAAAGAGCACTGTTGCCTTTTAAATCACATACTGTATATTAAACATAATTTTAACTGAAATGAAAAGCCTGGTATAAAAAAGTATAATAATAAAAAAGAATAATAGGACCACTGGCATTCCAGGGACAAGTGCTAGAAAGTTGGTATCTGGATAATGACTCAGGATCAATGTACTGTATTCCATTGATTACTGTTATTACATCAGCAGAAAAGCAAATCAAACCAGTATTTGTTCATATATTTGTTAAAAACAATCAATGTTACAGGCTTTGGGCAGTGTAAAATGGATACTCTAATAGGATACGCTAAAGGAGATTTGCTTTTTACTGCAGCATTTAGTGAGAGATGAGTGGATGGGACAGCAGGTCTATGACTGGGGCTTTAGAGCAGGATTGAGAGTGAATCAGTAGGCCCTGTTGGGCATGTTAGTACTACTGTCCTCTAAGAAAGCAGAAGCAGCTTGTATTTAATCATTACATTAGTACACAAACACAAACAGACACTCAACATTCACTTTCACAAAAAAGCCATCAATCCACCCACCAGATCCAGCAAACGCATCAGCAGCAGGGCCCGCAGCCACGGCAGCCGGACCGTCTCCTGGAGAAGGTGCAAAGGCATCTATTGCAGATGGAAAGACCAACAACGGCAAACGCAACACCCGGGACAATGACAGACACATGGACCAAACAAAAGATGAGCCAACAGATGGAGCGGAGAAGAAACAAAAATGAGAGGTCAGCATCAGGAGAAAGCAGAGAATACAAAACATATGCAGCCCATAAATCTAAAGGATCAAACCGCTTTGATGATTTAACCGGCTGCATAGAGGTGCATTCAGTGAGGGCAAACAGCGGCACTTGTCACAAGTCAGTGCTACTCTGTGACAAAAGGACATGTCAAGGTCAGATTTCTGACAAAGTTGATATTTTGATCAGTTATGTTCTTGACATATCTGTTAGTAAGCCATGGAGGAAAAACTATTAGGGTGCAAATAAAACTGCGAATAAGAGATATCGCTTGATCTGGATGGAATATTAATTACAATACAGTCTATAGGGGTGCACAGAAATACAATAAATAAATGAGGTCAAAACATGATAACTGTGCAACCACCAATAGACACTATGTTATTAATAGGATTTGGGATGTGATACGTCTTTTGCTCATCGCAAAAGAAAAACATTGTATTCACATTTTAAAAGAGGGAGGAAGGCAGAAGACAATCTGTCCAACAAAATGGTGTGAATTTGACCTTTTCAAATTGTTGACATGTTTTTTTGCATCTATAGACAAGGTATGTTACAGTATGCTATTTCAAAATCCAAATCCTAATTGTACTAGCAGTCGTTATTAAAAGCAGGCAGAGGGCCATGCTGTGTAGCCAGTGTACCCAACCACACTGACCTCCGAAAAGGTCGATGTCTGTGGCAGTGGTGGTGGGAGCAGAGACGGGCAGAGAGGTGGGCACCGGAACAGCCGCAGCAGGGGCAGCAGCAGGAGGCGCTATAGCAACCGGGGCAGGGGGGGGTGCTATAGCGACTGGAGCAGGAGGGGGCGCTATAGCGACTGGAGCAGGAGCAGAAACAGCTGCTGCAGCAGGCTCCACTTTGGCCTCAGGTACCGGCTCTGCAGCGGCTGGTCATTACAAAGCACCAAATCGAAGCACCAACGCCCAGTCACAACCCAAAGAAGAGAGGAGAAAGATAAGAGTGATGAGTGTGACTGCCACCCTGAAATATAGTGATATAGGTTTGCATCTTTTTAGCAGATATAGTGGAAGTAGTTTGTGCTAAAAACACCCAAGAAAGAGAATGCAATACTTAAATGCATGATCTGCAATACTTAAATTGATATCTAATGATACTCACGATCAGCCAAGAGATCTATACAGGAGATAAAACACAAAAAAGAACAAAAAGGATTATTTGGATAGTTAGATCAAATTCATCTCAAAATACAGAGTGCAAATAAATAATTAAATAAAAATAAACCAAAATATTTTGCTTATCAAATTTGATAAGCCCTTGATGATAATGTGAAGATTTAATTTCAAATGACCAACGTATAGTCAAATCCTCTATGTATCAAGAGCTTACCTCCCCAGTTGGTTATTAGGGAGGAGGCTGCTGCGCCCCCTGTTGATGAAGAGGACATTGGGTCCAGGTCCAACAAGAAACCATCATCAAGTGCACTAAACAAACAGAGAAGGAAGCTCAATATTGAACTTGCTGACAGTCTCCATTGATCTCCAAAGTAATGATGAAGCAGCTCATTTAAACTAATATGATATTGTTGATAGATTCCTACTTGTTAGCTTTAGCGGCAGGGGCTGGAGCAGTGGGGGTGATGGCGGGAGGGGGGGGTTTGGCAGGTGGCCCAGGACGTGCTGGAGGCCCACCGGCAGCAGTGGGAGGAGCAGGCTTGGCTGGTGCAGCGGCTGCTACTGGGGCACTGTTGTTGGCTGTTGCTTCCTGCTGGAGAGAGAAGCCCTAATTAACATGGTGACCTGGTGATTTGATTATGTAAGATATAAGTTGTGCTGTTTATGCAGAACACTTTGTAGTAAGCAGTTTAAAGTAGTATCTTTAAAGGTATGATATTGCACTATTGTGAGCTTTTGGCCATGTTATAATGTTGTTATCTCATCAAAAACATACCTAGAGTTGTATGTTTTACTTTGTTTAATTGTTTAAGTAACTCTTTATTGTTAGTTTGTTTACATCTCCAAAGCTCAAAATGCTCTGTTTTAGAGCAGAGGTGGAACAGAGTCATTTTTTTCAGTTTGAGAGAAAAACTAATCTTAAATAGGTGTTTGTGTGTTAAACGTGTGAATGAAACAAAACACAACTCCATGTATGTTGTTTATGAGGAAATAACATTATAACAGGTCAGAAAATAATATGTAATGTGGGCTCTTAAACTGTATCTAAATCAATGGCTGCATTATATGTAATTGTGACAGGCTTATAACTGTTAAATATTGCTTACCTTGGTGGGTGATCTGCAAAGATGAGATACAAAACATGAGTAAGAGCAGATGCTTGTAATTGAAAAGCAATACAACAGCTTTATGAAAACAGGCAGGTACACTATGTAATATTTCTGGACCTGCCTGTCTCCATGGAAATGTCACTGCTTTGCCTAGAATCCAGTTCCACAGAATAGCAGTATGAGACAACCATGTATCAGTATCTTGTTTGAGACAAGCATGGGATGCCACAAGGCCAAATTACAAGTCACATCTGAAGAGAGGTGACCACACTCACAGTAAAAAAAAAAAAGTAATTGAATAAATGCAAGATAGATAGGTTTAATCTCATACTGCATAACACAATAGCATTTCCATGGACACCACCTAGTTAATAATTGGTTCCACAGTACACAACAGAGTAATGACATCTTGGCTCCAGCTCCACTTGAACAATAATTTTCTTTTTATAAGAGAGGGCACAGTATCTGAAGCTGGTGATAAGATGCAAATCATACATTTGTTATTGTATGACAGAGATACAATAACAGATTTCATTCGCAAAATTATACCCTGCACTTCTGTATAGATACAAACACTCACTGTGTTTTAGTGTATACAGAAATTAGTACATATTACAATAAACAATAACAACAGTAAACCACACATCTTTTGGAATCATACTTACTTATCCTCTCTGGGGACAAGGGGACATAAAAAGGAATCAGATTTTAGAGTGCAAAAAATAACCGAACAAACAACTAAACAAACAAACAAACAAAAAACATAGGTGAAAAAAGATTTGTTGAGTAACATAACTATAAAATATACTTCAGCTTCTGACTAATTATTTTATCTTGAAAGAAAAAATGCACAACTAGAGATTTACCAATTCAGTGCAATACACATACATAAATGTGAACAGTTCTGTTAATTAGTTTAATTTGGTAAATTTAATTGAATAATTTGAGTATTTTTATTTCTCAATGGTCTATTAAATCAATAAAAATCCCTTGCATAATAATTTCAGTATCATTCATTCAATTGATTTTCACTTTACAGTATTTATTGATTGCTCACTGACTATGAACTCTTATTACTTACGGCTTCTTCCCTTCCAGTGTGTTGAGGTGTGTCTCGAGGGACTCCAGTAGACTCTCTGGGGCCTGTACAATGACACAGAGAGGTTACAGAGGAGGACTGTTATCACTGCATCTCAGACACAGTCAGCTGTGGTCTAAGAGGACATAGCAGAATACTAGAATAATAGGCTATAGTCTCTGAACCCACAAAATTATCAGGTCAGTGAGAAGTTTCAGCTTTGACTGCAATGACAGAAGTCTTATCCTTTGAAGGTTGCCACAACAAACTGTCTGCTTCCGATGTAGTCTTGATGCAACCTTCTTCTTTTACTCTATTCAGAAAAATGGATGATGCTATTTCAATATATTAAACCCTATAAATACTGCCCAACTATTTTGTCTGAGAACAAGAGAAATATACTGTACATATCTGACCAATGCATCGGAACAAAATATGGAAAGCATGCAATCATGCCTAAATACAAAAAGCACCATATTTCCCATGCTGGAACAATAGAGTTAACAATATCCCTTGTTAATCAAAGAGAAGTTTCTAATACATTCCCACTCCATTTACTCAATGTCCTGAGGCAAAGACAAGCATGGTGCTGAATGGCCTGAGAGGGCATTCATCATCAGAGAGAAACTGTCACACTCTATCTATAATCATACTTCAAAAGAGAAACAGCTCTGTTACCTGCTGTTGGTTGACTCTTAGACGTCAAACCACAATCTAAACACTGTCCACCAAAAATAATGCAAAATTGTGCTTTCATTGTGAAAAGAATAACTTATTTACCTCCTATTAAATTTAAAATGTAATCACATTAAGGTAAGACCTCATTCTCAAAATTCTTTTTGGAAACAGCCTTAAAACTGGATACTGAACATGTTTTCTATACATTTGCTTGCGCTGCAACTCTACTCATCACAACTGTAGTAAATGACATAAAGATCTGTATGTATTGCTGAATTATATATATATATCCCATTAAACTCTGGTCCTTGGCTAGCATGCATTTTGTATCAGCTCTTCTTTTAAACATGACCATATAAGTGCAAACATGGTTTAACATGCTTGTCAGGCAGCTAGTGCAAATGTTATTATTGTAATCCTGCAAACAGCAAGTGCAGCAGCTTTCCACTTGGTTGAACATAAAGCAAAATGCACTAAATGTGAAAACATGGCTGTCTGGAACCTCTGCACCTTAATGCACAAGGTTGACCTTAACCTATGCTTTGCTCTTAAAAGCGGACGCAGGCCCTGGTCAGAAGCATGGCTCAGCATATCACAGCTCTATCTATTGGCCCTTTCCAGTCACTTCATTGCACTCCTCCAGACCACATGTTATGTCTGTCTGGCTTTCTATGGGCTCACAGTGCAGCGTACTTCAAACCAGTGCACTCAGTCTCAGACTAAATGCTGACCTTCCCTGCTCCATAAAGCTAGCACTACTCACACTCTCAGCCTCAATGATCAATCTGCATCTCTGGAAACGAAAACAGAAATAAAGGCGTGGGTTTTGAACAAGAGGGGTCGTTCATCAAAATTAGAGTTTGTTGAGGGGATAGACCTTTAATATCAGTAAAAACACAAAGAGCAGTGATTCTCAAACTGTGGGGCAGGTGCCACTAGAGGGCCAGAGAGAAATTGTATAACATACGTGATATTTCTATTAAAGAAATAGCTAATTAAGGACATGTTGCATCCATCTTTAATTGTACTAGTAGTTTTGGTCGCATTTAGCAGAGATCTAGTCGTGTTTACATGAAATTAGGTCTAGTTTAGTCCTGGCACTCCCAGACTGTTTGAGAGAGTCTGCATTAGAACATGTATCACTGAAATACATGCCACACATTTACAAAAATATACAATAACGTAACACATGCTTTGTTAGTGATATACTAATAAAATAGCGCCAAAAAGAGTAGAGTCAGCAGTTACCTGAGTGAGTTCAGGTATGTCGTTTTTGTCTATTCCCACTTGCTACAATAAAAAGAAAAAGAAATTCACAATTATGAATAGCTGATGACTACATGTGACAACATGACAGTATCCTTGTTGCTTTACCTCTGCAATTTTGAAGAACTCAGAAACTCGAGTCATTCGTGTTAAAAATCTCTTGTAGATTTCCAGACCGTCTTTACATTGGCTTCTCTTCATCTGGAAAAACTTTTCTGAAGAATATTCTCAGCATTATTATTTGCTTGTATTGTTTACAGCAATCAAAACATTTACAAAGGTTTTTACCTAATAGGTTTATTATACCATCATTGTAACAAGCATACAACTTTATCAGATCTTTAAAAAGAAGTAGAAAGCACGCATTTAGCACACAATGGTTTAGGTCCTTCGATTGAACCTGAGGAAAACAAAACCGCATAAAAGCATAACATTATTTAACATGAAAACTTTGAGTGATCCACACATCAGCAACATAATGTGACAATATTAACCATTCATATCCTGCAAAAATATGTGTCCTAATCTTGGAAGTGACACAAGGAAATTCACAGTCAGATGCCTTGTGTGTTGTAATGGTAATATATTTAGAATAACAGATATCCGGTAATAGAAGTGAGCTAAATATTACAGACATTTATCTACAGTGTTGGCGGATAGCAAAAATAGTCCAGCAGTCTAGGGGTTAATCTAATGATTTTTAGAGATAAACTGAAACAATACTTGTATCAGATATCTGCACCAAAAATGTTCATGGAGCAAATATTTGTTCAGTTTAAATCAGTTAATTTCTGATCTATAAATTGGTGTAATAAGACAATTTACAGGTTGATTCTGGCCCAACACAGAATTAGTGAACTTTTTTCAAAGCTGTTCTGTAGTTACTTTAAATGGCAAATAACAATAAAAATTTGGGTAATATTTAACCATGCGCCATTTGTTTGTCATTAGATATTTTTTTCAGACCAAGACCAATCCTTGGTCTGAAAAAAGAACCTAATAACATAAATTATCGGAAGACGAAATGAACCTCATTGGACGATGTGGCATTTGTGTTTAAAGAAAATAAATCCTATTTTTCATCTCAGCTGATATTGACATTGGTATCAGAACAGAAAAGGCTGGTGTGCCCCTTATGTTTTTAACACAAACACCATAAAATAGCTACTGTGTGTACACAAATGTTACTAAGGTGCTCAGAAATCATTAGGAAGAATGTCACCTACATCAAAGTCCAGAAGAGCATCGATCTGGCCTTGCAAAATGTTCATTCCTCGTAGTAACTTTTCTACTGGCATGGTCCTCATTACACCTTCAGCACTAAGAAAAATGAGAAAAACAGAAATGTAAGAAATAATCTGCAAAATATAGTATAGCATCGCTCAAGAGTTTAATGACCAACAAGATTCAGTTAATTCTGATAATGGATAGAGACAAAAATACATATATACATATATATATATATATACATATATATATATATATATATATATATATATATATATATATATATATATATATATATATATATATATATATATATATATATATGTGTGTGTGTGTGTGTGTGTGTGTGTGTGTATATATATATATATATATATATATATATATATATATATATATATATACACACACATATATATATAATATACCACACAGAGTTTACAGATGCAGCAGCAGCAGCTCAGCCCACTCCTGAGCATGAGTAATCACCACTCTGTATTCACGACCACACTCAGACAGTACAGGAAAGCTCTGCACTGTCCCAATGGCAGCTTCAAATGGGCACTACAACTGCATATACCTTAATACAATTTTTTAACACTCAAAAACAAGGGCAACGGTGGCTCAATGGCAAGAGCACATGGCAAGGTGCCATTGTGTCCTTGGGCAAGACACTTCACCCACACTTCCAATTTAATGTACACTATGCATGTATGATCTTTTGTTTATGAGAGTAAATTACCCCATGGCTACAATATGCCCTACCCACATGCATGTGTTTTATGTAACATGCAAACAATTTGTTCAGATCTTTTTTTGATTTTGTAGGTTGTAAATACTGAATACTGTCTTTGCAGTCCTTTGAAACTCATATGCACCTTCAGTTATTTTAGCCTGAACATTGCATTGCTAATAATAATAAGAATCTTTTACTGCAGCCCTATACACTAAATATACATATGAAACAATTGGACACAAACCCTTTCTTGACTCTGCCAAAGTCAAAAGACATCTGTCGGTAAGCGAAGGCTTTCTCGTTCAGGTAGCGACTGTAGCGTCTGATAAATGTGGACATGTCATAGCCTGGAGAAGGAGAAGACACAAAGGCACAAAAACAACATTTTTATTTTGTTGAATACATCTGTTGCCATTGTGCAAAATGCCTATGACAGCAAGCCATCTAACAGTTCTTTACCACCGTGGGAGACACTTTGTTTATGTAGATTAGTTTAATTAATGGTACGAAGAATTAAGAAAGCTCAAGTATGAGGGTTACATAACAATCATGCTTACTTGAGTGTTGTATGTTGGATTGTTAAACAAAACACAAAACTGCCAGTACAGAAGCAAATACTGCGTACCGTGGGAACCAGTTTTGTCCAGGAAGTTGCTGAGGTTGAAAAGTGTGTTTCTAGATGCTAGGAACTGTAGAAATTTCTGCAAGAGAACACAGACTTAAAGATATGCACAGAGCCCTATTCATACTACTATTATTCTGATACCATGATGATAGTAACACTTTCTTTAGACAACTGAATGTGATTTTCAACGTTACATAATACAATACAATACAAGTTCAAATTCAAATTCAAGTTCAGCTTCAAGTTCAATTTAAAGTTAAATAAGTCAGTTTCCAAAGTTCTCCACCTAGCAATGTAAAACATAATAGTACTTTCTAGTATATTACCATGTGGTGTTATATCTGTGTAAACCCTCATTCAGGCATATTCCACAGTGGTCCACGGGGGTATACTAGTCTATATGGTCTTACACTTGTTCTGATACAGCTCAGTCTAAAGGCAATTAGGGAAAGCTCATTTCTGTCCTGTAAATGTGACATTATTGATACATGCTCAATGAGTATCTAGTTTCAATACTAGTTTAAGTATCAATTAGTATCTGATTTTAAAATGACTATATTGGAAGATGCAAATGTGTTTTAGTGATTAGCAGCAATTCAATACATTTTTACAGCCCAAAATGACAATGACATCCATCCAATTGCAGGGCTTATTAAAATTGATTTAATCAACATTAATTTAGGAAATCACACAGGGAAACAGTCATTGGTCAATAACAGACAGGCAGATCAACCAACATTCACAGGAAATAAGCAGATGGATAACTGCCCCAGTGTAGGTGGTAGTTTCAGTTACAGCAAGAAAGTATTAACACAGTAGTCATAGTGAAAGTAGTAATATAAGTAGAAGTAAGTAACCACGGATGCACCGTTCCAGCTTTTTCAGTTCCAATTCCAGTACTATGGATTTAAGTATCTGCAGATACCTGACATTAACCGATATCAGAGCAGAGACTGCATTTAATTCCTTTACACAAAAATAAAATATGACAAGCTGAGTCAGATGCGTTATGTAGCTGTTACCTCTATTGGATCAGTGTATCCTTTGTAGTAACCCCTGTATGCCTTGTCTGGTTCTGGTTAGTTTGCATTCTGATAGTGCCATCAAGTTAGATTCCAAATGAAAACTACAAAACTGAAAATATTCATAGCACAAAATTGATGATCTAATTAGGCACAAACAGAACCTCAATTTCCCTGCAGAACAAAAATCTTGCCATGCATTCTTGACCACAAATATACTGAATTAAAATGGCATACCACAGTCCCATTTGCAATTAAAAATGATAGTATAATAAATGAGCAATGCTGCAGTAGCATGTGGGGGCATGAGGTAATATGACATTGACAAATAAGGTCCCTGAGAAGCACTGAAGAAGATATGGCAGACTGTTTTATATATTAAACATGAACAATTATCATTTCATGTGCGGTGTAGAAGCCTATGACACAAAACACAAGGGAGCCACAACAAGGCACTAAAAGCTTGGGTAGCAGTTTTCAAGAAGAACAAGCAGAAACAATCATGCAATCCATTCATCACTTTGGCTGAATGAATGCTAATTAGTCTTATCAGTAAATGACCACAACCCTTCTGGCTCTCACTGGAACATAGGGTCACTTGCCCTTTAGCCGGGCATCTGCTGTTTCATTCAGAGGCTCTTAGGGAAATTACCATGATATTAGAATCTCTGTGACATACATGCCACTGGGATAACTCAAAGAGAAATGCTCAAAACTAAGGTGGAGCTTAATTTATTAGTTTCCAGTATTAGAGTAATTAATTGTAGTAATAAATAAGCACCTGGGTATTGTATTTTGGCTGAACAAAAATTTTACACAAATGAATTGGGAGGAAAGTACCAGGAAACACAGTTCGAAGACTACTTTTCTAGCTGTCGTAGAGGTGCATTGTGCAACTGGTGCAGGGTTTGTCAAAGCTTTTATTCGTGGAGATGTTATGCTTTTTTTTGAATGTTTCACAGTATGGCATTAAACCTTTCTATCTTCACTGAGACCAAGCCAGACCAATTTACAGGTCAGATCGGTGGAGAGGCAACCCCTGCTCACAATCAGAATGGTTGTTTTTCGAGCCATAAGTGTAAGGTAGACCTGTTTAATGCCATGCTGTCGAACATTCCAGGAAGAGCATTAACATATCCATAGAAACAGGCAGGGGACGGAAGACCAATTAAAAAGTTACATAGTGCACCTTTAAAGTAAAATGTGTCTTAGAAAAGTGTTGAAAGACCTATTTTAGAGCTCTTAGCTACATGAGAAATTTAACATTTTTTTAAAAAACATATTTGATCACTCAGAAAATTCATGCCTTTGTCCAATCTGCTACACACTGCACAAAAAAGTTAAATTTTCAAACTATCTGAATCACCAAAAGTGCCAAAATTGGAAAGTGTTACAGTAGTAGTAAATAACAAATTATGAAAAATAGTTGGGATTTTTTTCTGTGACAGAAAAAACACTTATAGTGGTATAAGCAGTAATACATTATAAGTAAGTAAGTAGTATACATTAACCTTAACAGGAGAGATGCATTGTACCAGGTTGCTGTACTAGTGCTAATTTCCATCTGTAGTCCCTGGGCAGGCTGATGTTATAGCTCAGGTAGTAGTACAGGAGGTCATACTGGTAGTAGGAAGAGCAACTGTAGTGATGGCCTATACAGTATTTGTAATTTGGAGTAGTTACTGAAATTTAGGTGGCATTACTAATACCACTAGTCAGTATAGTGGTAAAAAAAATAAAAATAAAAATAATTTTTAAATTCAGGTAGGCAGTATGATTATAAGGCTAATGTTAGATCAACCTAACATTTATGAGTAGCAATTTATGCCAACAGCAGTCTTTATTTTTGAGCTAATATGTTGGACCATTTTCCCCAAATTATGTAGCTGAAATAAAATGTAGGAACTTCATCCAAGCACCCTTTTTTTTTTTTTTTAAATCACAAACCTATAAAAGTGCTGTATAGTCACATGTTGTACATCTATCTTTATGTATGAAGTATATAAAGCTTTGTGTCCAGCAGATTGATAAAAAAAAAAAAAGATCGGTCTATGCTGGAGATTTAAGGCTGATAGCTGATACAAATATATCGATATATCGATATATAGATGTATCTCTACTTGTATGTACTTAAAGCATAGTTTCCACCCCTTGTTGTTTGTATTGATTTGGTAGAGAGGCTTACCTCGTTGCCATGGACCATGAGGTGGTGTGTGGTGATGAGGGCTTTGAACACCACCACCCAGCTGGCGTTCCCGGCCCTTTCCATCAGAGTGTCCGCCATCTGGGGCACGTTCACATTGGTCTCCTGGGTGGCCTGGATCAGATCTGGGAATTACAAAGAGACACGTGTGGTTTTTATGACAAGTAGAGAGGTACATGGTGAGGAGCAGGTACAGGGTGTGCTTTTATGAAAAAAACAACAACATTTTGCAGAGATGAAGGACAAAGTCAAAAGGTGGTGTCTGGCTTGTTCTCTGTAGTGTTGTATGAAGGTTTATGCATTTAGCAAGATGTAAGACCTGTACCAGCAAAAAATAATTACTTGCTCGAGCTAACACTAAATAATTACACTTAAGAGAGCAAAATGTTAAAGCACTAAACATACAATTTCACATTTTTCACCAATATTTCTTTATGGCTTTATTAAACAACATGTAGGAGACAAGCCAGGATTCTCACCCACAATGCAATCATGTCAGCATTCAACAATGCAGTGAGTTTATGCAATTTTAGACTTTTTAATCTGTTAAAACAATTCAGCTTTGAAATTATGCATCATTAGAGGTAAAGAAAACAGTTTAACCACAGTAAACTGGTCAATTGCATGATCAAATGACTACTAGCACAATAATGACCACCATGCATTTTCATTAACTTAGTGTTACTGAGCTCAACTACTAGACAATGAGACTGGAATAAAGCTCTTCTTCAATACAGAGAAAAATAATCTTTCCCCACAGTATATATACATACATACATACATGCATATATATATATATATATATATATATATATATATATATATATATATATATATATATATATATATATATATATATATATACACATCTTCCACTCAAAAATTACAATACAAACTCTTAAGAATCTGGCTTAAGAATCACCAAACAGAATCCTTCCCCACTTAACTTATTTTCCTAGTAATTTTTAACTCAAACAAGAAATGTAGAAAAATATGCAAAAATACCACCATAGAGAAGATCAAATACGTCACAAAAGTGAGGTTCTGGCATGATTGCTCCCCCAGGCACTATCGTGATTGCAGGAGGAAAGATATGTATTGACTGGGCAATGAGAGATTGTCAAACAGTAAAACCTGGGGCCATATCTTGAGCCAGAGTGATGGATGAGATAAGAAGGTGCATGTTGGACATGAAAGGGAGACAATCTGACTAGAATCACTAGAATCACTTTAAAATGGTATTCAGCAGAATAGGCAGAGGAAAGCAGATGTGACATTTATAAACAAGTGATTTATTAATATTGCCAAGTAAGCACCTGCATGCTTACTGCCAGACTGTTTCATGGGCCATATCTCACCTCTGGGCTGCAAGTATAAATAGGTCTGCTTTATATGACATTCGTTTTATTAGAACAACGTTTTATGTCATTGTAGGGTACTGTACCCTACACTACTCTGCTATACTGATTTAAATGTCCTATATTACACAAAATGTACTTTTGTGATCTTTAAGCCATATTATAATGTTACCTTATTAAACGCACAACACTGGAGTAGTTGGATGCATGTTAAACAGGTATGAATAAAACAAAACACAACTCACCGTATGTTTTTGATGTGGAAATAACATTGTAACATAGACCAGAGAATAGTGTAATATGGGCCCATTAAGATTTTCTCTCAAGGGGATAGGATATGCTTAACTCGTCCCAGTATATCCAGGCCTGGGACTTATTAATTGTTTCTGGCATCATTACTTTACTTAATAAGAAGTATAACCTAATAATTAATAAGAGAAACACAATATGCTTTGATATGCTTGCTCCCTAATGCAACACTTTGATCATGCAGTAACACTACACTTCCTCAGTAGTGATCCCAAACACATGAGTGAATAATCCCTGAAGGCTTCATGACTCAGCAGCTGCCTCTCCAGCCCACGCTTTTGATTTCTCTGTCTGTCTGTCACTCCTTCACTCTGCCATTCCTCATTTGGAAAATTTATGCTACGTAATCCAGAGTCCATTATTACATGTCCATAGATACAGTACATTGGTCACTGTTCTAAATTGAGTACTGAGTATTACCCACATTTGAAAATAATCGTTACACTGGAAAGATGATGGAATAACAACAGCCATTAGTCAGTAGTTGTTTTATAGTAAAGATCTAGGTCCCTAGCAAAATGTATACTGGTGCAAGTAGTTCTACATTCACAGGGGTTCCCTTATTTTTATGTAAATTAAAGTGTAAATTTTGCTCTCAATGTTCCTTGAAGCACTGAAGCTCCTATGTTATTGTACGTCGTGACTGGCCTGCAGAGAGGAAAAGAGAAAAGTGCTCTGCTGGGAGAGGTGTTTTCGATGCTGAACAGGGTTTCAGCAGGAGCTTCTGACTCACCGTCTTTCCTCTGCTCAGATCTTAATTATTCACGAGTGTGTGTGAAAACAAGAGGGGAGAGTGATAGTGGGAGGTGAAGAGTCAAGTCTAGCATGCTGTGATATGTTACACTGATCAACATGTCCTTCAAGCAGGGATTTAGACAGGAGTACAAATTAATGTTACTGTTGTACAATATTATCAAACACTGCACAACTCAGAGGGTGCAATCCAAACTAGGACACCAGCAGTCAGGCAGTCTCAATTAATCCATGATGTAATTTAATGAAACTATGAATCAATGACTATAAAATGATGAGTAGCTAATTTAGCTCAGTCTGATTTTATTTGTTTTGATGGGTAAATTGAAAATCATAAGACAGGTGTATAAATGTGTTAGAAATAAAATTAAAAAAAAGGTTACTAGTAAAGTATTTCATGTCATTGTATTTAGTAAATTATATCGCTATAATAACGTGAATAGTTCAAGGGGCACATGGCTGTACACTTCACTGGGTAGAACTCAAAGAGCTGGTAGTACTGATCTCTGGGGTAATTGTCTCCAGCTGCACAGCCATTAGCCCGTGATTACTGTGACAGGGACAGCAAGCACCAGAAACGCAAAGTGCAGAATCTTATTTAAACCAATTTAATAAAAACAATAATAAAGACTTATTCGAGGCAAATTTTCACAGACTTCAAAAAGGTGCTTTGGTGTTTTAGCATGGGGAGGCACAGAACATGCCCAGGGAGGGTTGTTGCAGTTACACAAGGTCATTACAGGCACCAGGATTACAGCCCTAGTTTCACAGAGCTACATTATCTACACTGATGCACAAATGCTACTTATCTGCAGCTACAATCCGAGTTCAAAGTAATGCAATCAAGCTAATACAATGCAAACTATGGACCTATAATTTTACAGAAACAGATTTGATAGTTGGGAATATTATTAGATAATTATACAACTACAAAAAGTTCACAGCAAAAAATGGAAATAGAAAGAGGAGATGTGTCTTTTTACCTTAATTTTAACACTTTTTCTCTGGCAGTATTAAACTATGTAGATAATAGATCATTATTTTTCCAAATTACTGAAAAGTAGGCTCAGATTGAGGGTAGGTGAAAAAAAAAAAAGTCTACATAATACATCTTGTTAAACCTGTTGAAACTTAAGTAGTAGTCAGACGTCCAAATACTATTCTTGTATTACTTTAGCAGTTCATAATTCTCTTTCCAAAGTTATGCTTTTGGACTTACAGTACAGAATTTGTAGTGTAAATTGCTAAATTAATCCCAAATGAAAATTAATATTTTACCCAAATTGCACAGGCCTGCCCACAGTACAATCTAACCGACAACTCTGATCTATCTTTTCAGAAGACTGTGGTCTCATTCCCACTCAGATGTCATCAAATATAATACAAGGAGCACTGGAGTCTGGTTTCCCATAGTGCTTTGCATCAATAAATGTAACTGATATTTTGTGAGTGAGTACAACTGCTGCCAACCCACAACATACCTACACTACACTGCCTGTAAACCAAGCATCAGTCTCCTAGGACCCTCTCTTTCATGGATGGATTTTACACACACTGGGGACATGCCAAGGTGGTTTCTATGGTAACAAGCTTTTATACTTGAACAAATCGTAAGGAAAGTGTAAAATTATTTGGAAATCAGCTCCAACAGCAGTGCTCTGATGAGGCTTATCTTATAGAGGGTGGGTGTACAGGCTCTGCAATGTTCCATGGGTGATTACATCCGTAATTTGGAATAAAATGACTTTCCCCTGTAAAGTACTCCTATGTGCAACTGCAGGCTACATGTTTTGTCTTGAGATAGTGTATGATATTGTTGATAGCTCCTTGGAATAATAATATCATTAATGATCTAAATTTATATAGTACTTTTTGGTCAAAATATTTTTATTATTTGTTAACTCAACACCAAGTGAGCTGCAGGTGAGTCACAGGTTCCCCTACGACCACCAACAACACCAACAACTCATGCACACACCACATTCGTCTCAGTCCAGGAGAGTCTGGAACTAGACAGTATAGCAAGAAAATCCTCTGTCCTGACTTGAGATGGTCCAAACACAGTCACTAATTTGTAGCACATGTCTCTCAAATGTGGCAGACATCTCCTCTCAAAAATTCTCATAACATTCTGAACAAAATGTTTAACTTTTCTTGACAGTTGATTCTGGAAAAATCAGCTCTGTTTTTATGTCCTTTATGTTGTAACAGCCATATTTGTTTTTGACACAAACAAAATGCATCTCTCTGATTGGTTAATCTGCCTGTCAATCACACCCTCTGGAATGTGCATGTGGTTATGGCTGACCAGGTAACTAGACAAAGTGAGAGATGTGTCTTGCCTAAGAACACGACAGCAATATGCAATGGTCTGACTGGGGAAAAAAGTGTTTTATCTGTATGGGCTGTCGAGACTACACCAGGGCTGAACCTTAACTAGCCAAAACAATGTATGGACAAGGGCAAAAGTAGGACAAAATCATCAATCAAGAACTGAACCAGAAGTTGACCAGGACTAGACTTGCTGTTGATTTTGTTGCAGAACAAGCCATGCTGCCTGGTGATGAGTGATGCTTGCGTTCAGAGGCACACGTGAATGGATAGTGAAAGCGTGGGGTTTATTTATAGCTCCCACCAGCCTCCAGCTACATACAGGGGGGAGAGAAAAATTACCCACAATGCAATGCTACCCAGCATAGCATAGC